TTTTTGGGTGAGTTTGAATACAAATATATTTTGCTTTCCACCACCAACTCTGAACAACTTTTTTCATGAGTAATGTACCTGAATGTATGGATGCTAGATATCTAAACTATATTCTTAAATTCGTTCACCTAAATTTGGGTTATTGCTGATTATGCACTATATGTATCTGACTTTTAAAAACAAACTTTGTATTTGGATAATCTAAGCACTATACCCCGATGTACAGACATTCTTTTCTCAACCTATGTAGTTAATTTTTTTTAACATTAGCTTTAATAAAATTTTACATCTTGTGTTCATAAACTCTAAATGAGAAATTGTCAGCTACACTTGCTATTCATTTTAGACTCTAGGGGGCATAATTGATTAGCAGACTCAGTGAGCTACCACCTTTTCTAAAAACATGCAGTGCTAGGTTAAAAATTTTAAGGGCTAAAAATGTTAACCACTGATGTGCTTGATGTTGTACAAGAGAGTTGTCCCTGCATCATATTTGTTCACTGAATGAAAGCTTATCAAGTGCAAATGAGTGAATAATACTGAGGCATTGATGAACTGGAGAAGAAAGCCCATGTGGTTGTATGGGTGTAATTCATAAAGTGTAAAAAAGCCAAAAATGGCTGAGAATTTAAATTAAGTGGTAAGACATCAAATCCCAATGGTGATTGAACCTGGTGATACTCTAAACAAAAAATTCAGCCACGTTTGTAGCTTTTTTTCATTACTTCAAACATTCTAGGTTTCAGTGACAATCCTGGAATCTTGTAGAGATATTTATAAATGTGTACCATTCAGTACAAGATATCAAATGATGAAATTCACCAAAAATAGCTGGAATTACCGGCAGATTGACTAGTGGTGAGCAAAGGTTTTCTGAAGACATCTTGTATACTAATGAATTGGTTGGGTAGAAGTTCACATTGCACTGTAACTTATTTGTCATATTGTGTTGCAGGTGTCCATCTTGCAAGCCTGTTGGTCTGCGATAGAAGAACATTACAAAATATCCAAAAGACCCTGAGAATTAGCAACTGTTTTTTTGTGAGCATTACCAGATGTGTCTGATCACTCTTTTACAAGTAGAAGATGCATACTGTTGAATGCACAAATTAAAATTTTCAAATCATTGTACTCTTGGTCTTTATTTCAAATAACTAATAGAAACTCATTGTTCATAATAGAAAATTACCCCTTTATGTAATTTAAAATACAGTGTTGTTTACACAAATGGATACTGTCATTTACTACATTGTGTACAGTTTTTTTCAGCAATGTATAAGGTAATACAAATAAACTTTGTGTAACTAGAACATACTGGATTTTTGACACTTTGCTTTGTTTAAACACAATTGCCTCTTTTAAAATGCTGCCTGTAGCTGAACTATTTCCTTTAAAGAGTGCTCAGCCTTTAAGCTTAAGTAGCATTAGTGAAACATGCCTCACATATAGTTCGTGGGGAGGTCAGGGAAGGGGACCCTGCTTGTTTTCAGTTACAGAATCTGAATTCTCTGCTCATGTGATATGGTCTAAAGGAGAGAATCTCTTGTTGACCCAGCTTCGGTTGAAGAAAGACATGCTATTGTGAAGAGCTCTGTAAGCTTGAAAGTTTGTCCCCCAACAGAAGCTGGTCCAATTAGGGATATTACCTCACCTGCCTCTTTAACACATACACAGTGTTGCAGTTGTGGAACTTTAAATGACTGCTTCCTACTGCAATAACCCTTTAGTTAGAGCAAGTAACACTTAAAATGTGCTGGCTGCACAGAAGTCTTTTCATACCCAGCTGCTGCTCGTCATTTTTTACATGCTTTGTTTACAATTCACTGATTTCTTTAGATACTTCAAGGAGGAAATCTTCCTCCTTGCTGTAGACATGTATCTTAATCTTTGAGGTGGGCAGATCATTGAATGAGCAATCCATTAATCAGTCATCCAAAACACACCAGGTGATTAACAAGGTGTAAAAGTTTGAGCCATAATGGAATTTTCAAGCAAGTAATTCCACAGCAAACAAAATTGAAAGAAGGGTTTCTATATCACCACCATCTTTAGCCTTACACTGCAGGTTCTCTTGAGGAATAAAATGAATGCTGAAGATCTCCCACATACAGCAGAATTTGCAGAGGTAGCAAGGGCAGGGTAACATTCCAGTCAAAATTGTGTATATTGCAAACATACCAATTTCAAACAACAATTTAAAGTTGTAAAGGAAGTACCCCCACTAGGTGTGGATTGTTAAGTAACATGCTTGGGTGTAATGAAAATGGCATGGAAAGTTTAAGGTGTTAAGGAGACTGTTTTCTAGTGAGCTGTGACATTTAGCCACTCTTTGTAGAGTAGGTCAACATTTCAAGTTTAATATTTGACATTAAGGCTCCTTTCCTATAAGGCTGAAGTACTGGTTTCCTCCTTGTGTCCAAAAGTTGTCAAGTGTTTTATAGTAAAATGTACAGACATAAGCTATTTGCTTATACTAACGTGTCACAATTTGTTTATGGGGTAGGGAATGAAAGGGCTCATAAGCTTAAATTTCAGCTATAACTGGTCTTCCTGTTTAGGATCTTGGGGCCAGACAGGTCTGTTCATTAATGAGATGCAGCTGAGGGGGTGGGGGCAGGTGTTTCCTATAATGAGTCAGGCTGTCATTAAGAAAGGGGAGCCAGGGGGAGGCTGCTGTGGAAAAGGGCCTTGTGGGAGACACTGCTCAGCTAAAACAGAAAGGAAGCACCCTGCAGTGCCCAGGAACACCGAGCATGCAGCAGGGGTGCCCAGGAAAGGGGCTGAATTTGCTTGTTTAGTAAAGACATGGTGAGACCATTGTTGAAGGTCAGCATGATGGTGGCAGAAGATTTCCTGTTTATGATTTCTAGTCTGTTGGACATTGGCAGATTTGGACTTTGAGGACTTTATCTTTGGGTTTGGGAGACTTAATTTAGTCTTTAATAATTGAGCCTAAAGACGTGTTACCAAAATGCAGAATCTGTGAAGTTCCCTGCTCAAGAACCTGAGGGAGAAACTGAGGCAGGGCACTGCAGTGCCAGAACTTGCTCTAAGGAGTTGATACGTGATGGTGGTCAGTGATACTACTAACTGAAAGAAGATACTTCAGGCCACCTGTCCTAGCTCTGAGATGGATACAACTGCCTAGGTAGAAAATGGGTAACATTCACTTCCAGTCAGTGGAGAACCTAGAGGAGATTCTGTCCAACGTACCTATGTTCTTTATCATTGGTAAGCATTTATATTACACTAGTTCTGTTCTGTGCAAACATCAGAACTAATCCCTGCCCTGGATTGCAGACTAAAATGCAAAAAGTGAAGGGGTAGCACCTGTGGATTTAGTATAAAAGTGAACCAATATGATGAATCGGCATAACTTTGTTCATTTTGACTTTTTGTTACAACCCTTGTGTGGGGAAAGTAAATAGGGTATCTGGGTCTGAGATCAACTTTGCTATGGCTAAAAAGCCAGGATTCTAGCAATAGAGAAACTTCATGTCTGCTATTGGATATGCTGCCACACCAGTATCTGGTTTTATTGTAAAAAGGTGGGGTATCAAAGATTACTTCATTATAATCTCTTTGGTTTTGAACATGTTTGCTGAGGCTTTGGAACTAGCCACTTAACACCACTGAAAAATTACTGAAGAAGTTTGTCTACTTGGTGTCACTATGGGAGAGATTTTGAATTTAGCTTGCTTTTGGTAGTATTGGCCTTCTGTCATGCTGATTTTTCTCAAAAAAAAAATTGTTAGATACTTTGCAAGAAGTTGGACCTTGTTACTAGCAATATACAAACCAAGCTGACTGTAGATACATTCAGCTAACTTCAGCTCACAAATTCATAGACTAAGGACTCCACCTGGTAGGGGCAGAAACAGCCAAATCAGGGACTGCTGCACTGAGGGGGCGGAGGTAAAATGGAGCCCAGCTGGGGCCACTCTTCTCCCTTCCCTGTGGGCTTAGGAGAAAACTGCAGAAAGGAGCCAGCCAGAGACTCTAGCAGGTAGTCGCAGAAGCGACCAAAGCACAGAGCTCTGGACGTGGAGAACTTTTTGCAGTTCTGACTGGCCTTTCTCTGCTCTGTGCTGTATGCTCCAACCCTCTCTTCTCCCTCACATTCTCTTCACCTCACCTTCACTCCACCCTGGCCCCCTCACCCTCTCTTCCCTTTTCTTACATGTAGGTGATCCCCCTCCTAACTAACAAAGCCCATTTTCAAAAAAAAAAAAAAAAGTGGAACTAACCTGCCATTTGCTGCCATCACATTGTTCACTCTGCTGTTGTATTCTATCCCTTTCCCCATCCCCCTGGGTTTTGTCTATTTAGATTGTAAGCTCTTTGGGATGGGGCCATCTACTAGTCTGTTTGTACAGCACCTAGCACAATGCACTACTATACAGAACACGATTAATAATAACAAGATGGGGTCACTGTCTGTGAAAGGACTTCAAACTACATGCAGCACTCACTTCAGTGGTGCTGGGGGTGCTGTCGCAGCCCCTACCTTGAAGTAGTATTAACAAACACCAGATACATAGTTTACATGGTTTCCATCATCAGCACCCCCTCATAAAAATTGTTCCAGCACCCCTGACTCACTTCACCTATCTCTGAAATGGGGATACTGCTGGCCTGTAAAATGGCAACACTTGGGCTTCTACTTTGTTGTATTGTACAATTTTTTTAAAAACATTGTTTTTGGTGGTAGTGCCTATAGGCCCTAATGAAGATCAGGGCCTCCTGCTAGGCACTGTATAACACAGAGTAAGAGTCCCTGCCCTAAAAAGCTTGTAACTGTGTTTTAAATAGACAAGTGGGAGGCGAAAGAAGTTGTAGACACGAAGACACACAATGCCTTGTGTCAGAATGCTTACAACCCCAAATCGTACCTAGAAAATCAAAATGGGCTGAGATGCAGATGAAAGAATTAATTGAGAGAATTTTATAACAATACCATCTTAATCTGATCACTTCCATGTTTCCTTTTGCAGCAAAGGAGGTGGATCGCTAGGTGTGATTTGAAAGACAACCACTTACACCAGGAAATGAAGAAATTCCAGATTCAAAAGAAACTACTGAGGCCATCTGGGAAGTAGGTTGTAATTACCTAAACAACCAGTTTTTATATAGTGTGAAGAATAGTTAATATAAAAATAATCTTTTGGTTTTTTTCTAACCCCTGTTCAACCAAAACTTTTCTCTGAATCATGAGTTTCTCATTGTGCATCACAAGCTAATTGGCCCCCTACCTTTCACGTTAACCTGTTTTGCTAAATGTTTTTGATATCTCTAAAACATTGTAGTTGTACTCTCTTAAATGGTCATTTAAATGAATTTTTTACTTAGATCTTTGTTCTTCATTATCTCATTTCTTATTTTCTCAAATTGACAGAATAAGTATAAGCCTCCAATGTTGCTAAAGCTTTTGTCCATTGGAGCTACTCCCATAATTAAAATTCACCACATACCTAAATTTTTGCAGGATTGGGGCTTAAATTTTTAAATCTTATTTGTAATCCAACAAGGCTACAGAATGTAGTTTGTGGTGAAGAAATATATCAATATAGTATGTGAACCCAGGAAGCACATATACAAATATTTTGAAAAGTCAGCATGTTTCTGTAAACTACAATAAATAACAAAGTGAAACTGTATTCTTGCTATTACAAAAGAAATAGCATAGCTATGCAATAGTTACCCAAAACGTTTGGTTTAACGAGAACATAGAAAGAGCACTATATTTCACAGTAAGTTTCTGACCTGTTCAATGGAGCATGCAAACTGCATGTTGTTACTAATTAGATTCTTCTTTTTTGAATGCGAAGCAGAGCATTATGAAACACTGATTGTTCAAACACTGTTTAATTAAAATCCTTAACAGAATCACAGTCTGTTCTGCTGTGTTGTGAAATGGAAATGTAATCAAAAGCACTTTTTGTATTACAACATTTGCAATCACAACAAGTGTGAGGCAGTTTTTTTTTTCTTGGCGTAGTTTTAGTATATTGTAAACTTGTTCAGCGTTTTTGTTGAGACAAAACAAAATACATTTCTCAGATGATGTTATACATAGAAAGTTTATTTATTTTAAAGGTTTAAAAACGTCATCTGGAAAGAGTACAAGTTTGGGCTGCAAGGGAATCTGACCTCTGATTAAATAAGACTACAAACTCCGCTGATGTTAATGGTCATTATATACTCTCACAGACCTTGGGTAGACTGAAGCAACTCAGCAAATGTTTGCTTGATAGTTTAGCTTGCTGGGTTTTTTATTTTTATGTAGTCTGTGGATGAATTAGCTGCAGTCTACGGCTAATGTTTTGTTTAAAACCTTTGTTTTTATTAACAAAGGCTCTTTTCTAATATATGTTAGCTTATTGAGATTGCAAATTGGAAGTGCTCCTGCTGAGTAAACTATAAGGTGTTGATTTGGGACTATTTAGCTACATTCAGAAGACACTTTATTAGCTGGAATTTGGGTTATAAGACAATGGTATCCATCATAAATAGCTATTATAGATTAGCTATCTTCACCATTAATGACCTTCAATTTGTTGGTGGTTTGTTGATGAAATGATATAAACAATATAGTTTCCCAGCAGGGATCCTCAAACACCATTTGTTGCTTAAATGGATGTGTAACAAAGGCTCATGCTTATTAAAATTGTGCATTGATTGAACTAACTTCTGTTTCATAAACATGAAATATATAACTGTCAGTCCTTCTGTGGGGAAAATAAAATGGATTCATTTGCATTGCATTTGAGATGTATTTGGTTTTGCAGAGTTATTAGGAAATAAGCAATGGAAAGGTCTTGAATTAAAATTATTTTGAGTAGCAAAAGCTTGAGAGAAAGTGGCGGCTTGCGCCCCCAGAGCTTAACAAGAGCTAAACTCAAGTCCATGAATAAATTTAAAACCTATCAAAAGATTAAGGCTGCAAGAAAATAATGATAAACATTAGATGCTGAAAGCAAGAATGACTCCCAGTCTGAGATGGGAATATCATGTTGCAATTCATTTATGAGCGACTTCAGTGCTGATGTAAGGTGCCCTGATACACCGAACACCTACTATAGGTTATGACTAGAAGTTTCAATCCTGATCTGGAGTGGCCACTGCTGTGGTGAGAAGGTGATTATACTTTTTTATGCTGAGACGGCCACCGAGAATGCTATTTGTGACTGTTTTATGTGTTGCAGGTACTTGGTTAGTAGAAACATCACTGAGACCACTGAGCTCATTTTCACATAGGCCAACAAGCAGCCATCAGATGGTAGTGACCTTTGATCTCTGCCCATAGGGTTTGTGAGGTGCCTGCAGTCGTGAAGGAGAGTTGCATGCAGGCATCTGAAGGCAGAATTAGACCTGTAGTGAAGTGGAAAGAAAAGAATAGTCTCATGTGGAGGTTCCATTTCCAATGGGGGTGAAGGTGCATAAACACCCAGTGTGCCTGTAAAAACTTGCACTGTAAATGTAAGAGTAAAAGCTGGGGTGCTCTCAGGGAGGTAACAACTGGAGTTCCACCTGATACTTCTCTCTCCTTCTGTTACTCCTCTATTTCACTTTCCCTCTGAGCTCTTGCTTTCAATCTCCTGCTCTCACTGCAGCACAAAGTCAATGGTACTTAGGCTTCTAAGTCACTTAGATTAAAGTTTGGAAAGGTACCTACGTGAACTTCAGTACTGAATTGAAATTCCACAAATAGCCAAGTTCTGCCAGCGACAAGGGTAGGCTTGGTTGGTAGTTAAAGTACAGGACTCAGTGCCAGGACGTCTGAGTTCAGTTCCTGGTTCTGCCGCAGGCTTGCCATGTGACCTGGGCCAGGTCATGGCATTAGCCTGTGCTTTTGTCTCCCCCTCTGTCAGATAGAGAGAGGATTCTTGTCAACCCAGGGTGGTAATACTAATTCATTAATATCATTAAACATCAGTGAGATCCTCAGATTGTGATATTGAAGCATAAATTGTTATTACTAATAGGTTTTTTCCCTTCTTTCTGTGCGGTACTACTCTAAAAATTGCCACAATTTCTGATTAAATGAGCCACTTTGAAATGAACTATTAATTATCGTAGTCAAGTGTAAAATCTGCACTTTTTATCCTTTTGTAGTTTTGGTATTAGAAGCAGTAGGACTAAAAATGTAACGCATTTGACACCGCACCCAATAGTCTACTCTGTGTTCTTAAATACAATATATTTAATCATTCATTCATTCATTCATTCATTCATGCCATGTAACAATTTTGTTTTAAACTTTAATATGAAAAACCAAATTCTCTCTCGCCATCAGCAAGACTAGATCCTGCCTCTGGGAAGTGCCACAGATAATTATGGATGGTTACTAAGACACAACCTTTAAAAATTGAACACAAAGATGAAACCCTACATTTGAGTGTGCTCATGTGGTGTTATATTTTTACTCTGTGACCGAAGGGGACTACTTCCATTATTTCAGACGAGCCATTTTGGCAAGTCAGGCTGCCTGCAAGCAATACGCTCTGGCTCCAGCCGTGCCATGAGATCTGCATGGGCACGAGGGTCTGCCCTCATAAGTCTCATTGCAGAATCAGGGCCTCTGAACTCAAGATACAGCAATGGAATCCCCTGATTTGTATATGAATCATTAGCCTTCAGGTGCATGGAACAAATAACTTTTGTCCTTCATAAAATAAATACAGGTTCTCTCTCTCTAACCACATAGTCATCCAAATTTTTCTGACTGCCTTCTATTATAGATTAATCCTGCGATGTATTTACCAAGAGTATGTAGTTTTTTCTGAATTAATCTTCATACGAGAAGATGACTTCCAGTTTTTGCTCATAGAGAGTTGAGATGTCAAGACATTTTCTGTGTTTCTTATTTTTTTAACATCTTTCCTAAGGAGACATACATTAATATTATTCTGAAAGCACTTTTCTGCAGGCAGTTCATTCGTAACCATAATGCACTAGTCCATGGACAAGTTAAAACAGCATCAGTCCTTCAACATTGACAATTGTGAGCTACTTCAACTGAATAAATTAGGAACAACTACTAAACGCCAACTCCCAAAAGTCACATGCTTGCATCTCATTTAGCATTTGAAATATCTATGCTGGTGCTAGGTTCACTATGTTTTAGTGGATGCTACCAAACTCTGGCTCCGAACATAGTAACTGAAATAGGTTTGGAGCAAACATTTATCCTTATATGGGGCAGGGGAAAAAATGTGAGCTTGGAAAAAGTGACACTTATAAAGTAAGCCTACAAGAGTGTTTGTTAACTGAAAGACGTGTCCCCTTGGTGCACATGCTAAGGATTCATTTCTTTTCATTGGAAATTTTAATCACTGCAAAACAGAGTGACCTAAGCCAAAGGGGTACCTTGGAAACACAAGTTCAGATCCCAGCTTAGGCGTTGCAACCCTTTGGTGATAAATTGAGTTTGATGAAGGGCCTCTTGGAAAACGTAAGTCTTCTATTTCTAGGATATCTGTCATAATATTTGAGGCCTTGTGCTCTGGGTGACCATTAATGAACCCATGGTAATTTCAAAGAGGAGGGGGTTTATTCTAAGTTTCTTCTCTCCCTGGTTGCTGCCTTCCCTCTCAAAGGCAACTGTATTTTAGAGGTGCTGTATGTATGTAAGTCCCATCTGTTAATACTGCTAAGCACAGGGCTTACGCTGTTGACTATTGGGAGTACTCAGGAGTAAGCACTGCACTCATTAGTAAATTCTGGCAGCGTTAGGCCACTAGTTTGTAAAGTGCTTTAGGAAGAAAGGCGTTGTGTTGTGTTCATATTATAGCAATTGTTGTGTAGTCAAGAAAGGACTTCGTAGTAATAATAATACCTAGTTCTTACATAGCGCTTTTCATCAGTAGATCTCAAACCATACAGGCGTCTATTTTACATATTCTATTTTATTCTTTCTTAAGCTCTCATATGTGGTCAACTGTTTATGGCGGCTAGAGGAGTTTTTTGCCCCAAGGGGCTTACAGTCAAAACCGAGAAAGATCAGACAAGAACGCCAAAAGAGATGCAGAGGTTTGCATAGGTGGGATTGGTGATGGCATTGGATTGACGTGGGTTAGTGTTTGCAAGCCTTGT